CAAAGAGCCACCTGTCTCTGCCTCCTAAAACCTGGGATTAAAGGTGTGTGCTACCACACCCAGTCTCCCAAAATTTATCTTTGATAAAAAGTTACTTTCAAAGTTATCTATAATTCAAAGGATAGTTATGATCCATGTGTATTTACCAAGATATTTAAACATTTTAATATTTTTGCCGCCTTCCGAAAACTGGGATCAAAGGTGTGCACCACGACACTCAGTTTATCTGTTCTTTTGAGTCCGATTGCATGCCACATTTTCATCCATCAATGCCAACAACCTCCCCCCCCCTTTTACAGGTTTCTTTAGCTGTCACACCTTCTAGTGTTTTCTAGTCTTCATAATGGGTTCTTCCTCAAGTTTAACCAAAATTATTCCCGTGGACCTAACCCAGCTCATCCCAATCCTGCTGCAAGGCCGTATGCCTCTCCATTCTGTGGAGCCTCATTCCCGGGGAAAGTGAGGGGCATGCTTGGACCTGCACTTGCAGGTGGACATGCTCTAGCCTTTCACGGACAAGAACTTGTCATGGCACCAACACGAATGATTCATGCAGTTAGAGTGAATGCTGGGTGGGGATGGAGGACTGGGAACCTTGCAAGACTCCACAGTACCTGCCAGACTTGGAGTATTCGTGATTCCAGCTTCTGAATCTCCCTTCACACTCTTACTGCTTCCCTATTTGACAAATGAAACTTTTTGATGGCATGGAGGAAGGGGACTGAGCCTCACTTTACTGTAGCCCAGGCTGGTCTGGAACATGAGACGATCCCACCCACCCACCTCCTGAGTTCTGGGGTTGCAGGCATGCACCACCATGAGCAGCACAAATGGAAGATGGAGCCCTAGTCTTGAAATGGTCTCTCAGCAGGGTCTAGATGGCTTACTACTAAGGCCACAGGTACCTCTGTGTCTATCGACCGCATTCACAATTTTGACTGCAGCTCCAGAAAGGGTACAATTCCATCTTGAGCTATGTTTGAATTTTTCAGTATTAAGTGTTAGACAGAAAAGCTTAGGATAGAGAAAAATCACTTCCTACCGTTCCCCTTCCTCTCAAGGGATTTAAATGGAACTGTAGAGTTAATAGCAAGCTAGGTTGAGCGGTGCACACTTCTAACTCCAGTACTTGGGAGCCCGAGGCAGGAGGATCCTAAGTTTGAGGCCAATCCGTGCACCATAGCAAGCCCCTGTCTCAAAAAATAAATGAATAACACCTTGGAATTGCTTATGCCTCTGTGTTGGGGGCTAACATCTAATTATTTAATCTCCACAGCAGGCCAAATGGTGAGAACTTAATAGGCACTGTTTGTACAGAGGAACTTAATAGGCACTGTTTGTACAGAGTGCCTGGTTTCCAGGCTGATAGCCCCTGGGAGCAGGGCCTGTCAGCCCGGCTTGTAATCACAGCCACTCTGACATTGCGTGCTGGATTACAGACACTGCCCACATTTCCTTTTCTCCGAAAGCGTCCTAGTGATGACATCCTGGATCCGAAATGAAAGCCGGATAATTGGAGTGAATGTGGAGGGAGACTCTGCATGGTCATGTTGCAATCCTCTCACATATGTGGCTTTGGGCTCTGAGCCAGGCAGCTGAGCCCATGCTGGGAAAATGGCACCCACCTACCTGGATGCTCCCACCCATTTCCCAGGAGTGCAGAGCTGCTCTAGTCTCTCTTCCAGAGGGAGCAGATACACTTATCAAATATTAACGGAGGTCCTGTCTTTCTCTTATGGCAAAGCATAGAGTAAATACTGTTTGTTACGTGCTACTTATATAACAGTAAATGCTATTTGTATTTACTACGATATAGGCCAGGCCCATTAGCGCATTCGAATCCTCAAAGTTAATTTTACTTGTTTTGTGGGGTTAATTTTACTTGTTTTCAGTAGCTTATGCTTCCCAGAGAAGAGGGAAGGCCTGGGTTTAACTCCAGGGCTACATGGCTGTGAGCCATGATAGCCTACAGCTTCTCCCAGCTGTTTAATGAAATTCAAGACACTGGAAACAGTCTTTCAGACTCTGGGGTTCATTTCTCTTGAACCCCATCAAAGGCTGTGTTCCTCTATGACTCTCCCTCTATTCTTCCAGTACCCTGTCTACTCCTCTATCTCCTTAGGTTGGTAGCCGGAGCAGGCACTGTATCTACTCTGTGTGTGTTTGTGTATTAGGGGCGTTCTTTGATTAAATCCCATCCCAGAGTCATTTGGGGGAGGAAACTTGTTTTGTTGTTGTTTGTTTGTTTGTCTGCTTGCTTTTTAGTTTTTCAAGACAGAGTTTCTCTCTGTAGCCTTGGCTGTCCTGGAACTCAATCTGTAGTCCCGGCTGGCCTTGAACTCATTGAGCTCCACCTGCCTTTGCCTCTCGAGTGCTGGGATTAAAGGCGTGCGCCACCACTACTGGGCAGGAAACTAGTTTTTAAAATAATATTTTTATGTATTCTTTGAAATTTCATTCTCTTATACAATGCATTGATAATGTCCATCCACCGCTATCTCCCTCAGCCTCCCTGAGTGCCTCCACCCCGTCTCCATTCCAGCTTCATGTCCTCTTTTATTGTCTTATTACTAAAATCCTTCTGAGTCCAATCAGTGTTGCCCATATGTGCATGGGAATGACGCCAACTACCAGGACATGGGCAGCCTACCAGAGGCCATGTCCCCAAGGGAAAATGACTCTCCTGGGGAGGACACAATTATACCGTCTTTCTGTACTTGAAACTCTGACCCCTGCAAAGCTCCACAATGGAGAGTTGTAATAAATAACAAAATAACTTGGATAAAGGGTGTTTTGGCCACAGTATATTTAAGGGTCCTAAGTTCTGTTCCCGGCTCTGCCGAGACTTCCTCTTAAGGCCTGGTACTACTCACTCTCATTTCTCTTTGCACCAATCAAGAATGAAAGGGTCTTCCAAGGGATGAGATCAAGGGGAAAGAGATAACGTGCAAAACACCTTCTGCCTATAGGAGAAAAAAGACTGGATTCCCATGAAGGTAAATGAAGCAATACCTGTAAAAGCTGGTGTTTGTTAGGTCCTTGGTAACCTTGTGAGACACCAGGAGCCAGAGGACCAGCCTTATGAAGCTGGCTGCTGACAGAGCCAGGCCATCCACACAGGACTTTCCTGACTGTGCCTTCAGGGTACAGTTGATGGCATGCCACAGCTCCTGGGAAAGTGACCTAACTTGGATTTTTCTCCATGAACACAAAATTGCAAGTAATTCTCATTTGCATGGTGATGGGGAGTTTGTTTTTCCCAGAAGCTGTGTGTCAAAACTCAGAAAAACAGAGCATTTCTTAATAATGATTAATCAGCTGTATCACAAAGGAAAGGAAAGAAAAGAAAACAATTAAGGCAATGAAGTACTAAAGAAATGAAGGGGGAGTCTCCTGAAGGTGGACCCACCCAGTAAACCTTGACAGTATTTCCTCTTCCCCACAACATAAAAGTAAGCAGCCCTTTCTAAATGGCAAAGAGCACCGAGAGACGACTCCACTGCGGCAGGAGGTACCAGGAGAGGTGAGGCTGGCACCGGCCATCACTTGGACCCTTAATACCACAGGGTGACCAGTGTGCATGACCTGTAATGTCCTGTAATGTCTAGGATGCTGAGGGTTTTTTTATGGAATGTGGAGGAGTACTGTGTGTGTGTGTGTGTGTGTGTGTGTGTGTGTGTGTGTGTATTTTCTGGTACCTTCTTTTTAGCAAAAGGAAATGGAAAAAAGAAAGAGTAAAGGACAGAAAATAGAGTATGAAGGAATCAACTATCTTTACTACATTCCAGGAACTTAACCTTTTGCAGTATCAAATATCTTTTTAAATGCAAAGCTCATTCCTGGTTCAGTGGGACCTGATCAGAAATGGTGTAGTTTTTTTTTTTTTTTTTTTTTTTTTTTTTTTTTCCGAGTGTGAAGCTGTGCTCTCCATGGGAGATGGATATGCACCCAGGAGAGAAATTGATTTGTTAAGTGGTACCTTAGCCATAAGTAGTGAGTACAGAGGTCAGCTGCCCAGTTCAGCTCTGACAACCTATTTCATTCTCCTAATTTCTAGTTCCCTCCTTGGTAAAATGTGCATCTACACAAACCTCCTCAGGGGTGGATGTCACCTGAAACAAGGCAATTATGCAGAGCATGCATTTCCCACAGTGTCCAACAAGCCCACTGTGTAGGGCTAGCGTTGCCTTCCGCTCTTGCTTGGCTGAATTGGCCAAGATGTCTGGACCCTATTTTAGAAGCAGAATGGGGAGGGGATGCTGCCTACCAACTTCCCTTGCCACTGGGGTCTATTTCCTTGTTTGCCTGGAGAATTAGAAAATCGAGCTCTGTGTGGCAGAGGGAGGTCTCAGTATATACCTGCTGTGTTCCGGGAAGGTTGCATGTTAACAAAAGGCTTGGGCTTGCTGTTTCTTGGCTCTCTAGGCAAGGAGCCTGGGAATCCTAGGAAAATGTGGTCTGTGGTGGTGGTGGGGGAGTGGGCCAGTGTGGCTCCCATTCATACATCTTGTTCATAATTACAGTCTCACAGAATCATAGTGGGAGTCTAGAAGTAGGTGAGCTATGGCTCCCCAGATGGCTAGCTGTGTTTGGGGCTCTCCTCTATTCACTGGCCTCTGCACACACGCAGGGAAATGAGAGCATTCAGTGGGCAGAGGGCAGAGGGCACAGATCACTTGCTATTGTAAAGTTTATCTCTTTATATAGTTTGTGCTACTTTGGAGGGTGCCAAAGACAGATCTCAGGCTGCACAATGATGTGTGACATCTCTCCAAACACAATTTTAGGTAGATATGCACCAGGCTTTTCATAAAATGTGCCGCTTCCTCCGGAAAGCCAATGTGCTTGTACAGCTTTTTGGATCTGTTGCCTAATCTGTTCCCCTCATTCAGTTCATTGGAAACAAGACTTTTCACCCCAGTTGATGAAGAGTTGAGTCAGACTGAAGTGTGATACACACTGCAGTGAGAGCTGTTGGGGGCAGGGTGTGGGAGGGTCATAGTCAATTAATTCAAGAAAACCACAGAGTCCATTGGAGCTTTTGAAGCTCCCCAAGGCCAAGGGCTGAGTCTTCTTTTGGTTGCCATCCGGCCTCTGCATGAGGTCCCCAGGAGGAGCATGTGGGGTTTTCATTTTCTCTGCTCTGCAGTCTAGGTGGACAACGGACTTCAATCCTTGCTGCAGGATATGAAGGCACAGAACATTTCTCACTGGCTCCTGGGCATGGCACTTGTCCTCTGCTCGGTGCACACCCATAGCCTCAGGAGATGTCTGATTTCTGTGGACAGGAGCCTTATTGAAAAGAGTTTCCCAGAAATCAAAAGAGCCCTGGTGAGCATGGATTGTCTGAAGGAATGGGAATGCCTTACCTTCCATCTTAGCCTGAAAGGCAAACTTCCTCCTGTTACTTGTGAAGTATTCTGGGAAAATGGGGAGTTCTCATCAATGTCTCTCCTGTTCTTCACAGCAAACTAACGACACCTTCCCAAATGTCACCATCCTGTCCACATTGGAGAATCTGAAAAGCATTCAGGTACCAGTTGGTTTGTGCCCGCTTTTTAATGACTTCGTGCTAAGAAACAAATCCCTACCCAGTATGCTCTTAATGCCCCAGGCTTATTCGTCATCTGAGCAATTTGGGCATGTTAGTCAGTATCCCCGTGACTTTGAAATCACGGGCTTGACCAAAGAAGTGATACTTCCTCACAGGGTGACAAAAGTACCAGGTACTCCAATGAGACAGGAATTCAGGGGCTTGGAGATTGTTTTGGAAGATTCCTTGGGGAGAAATGAAAACAAACAAAAACAAACAGAATCCAGAGTCAGTTGAAAGCTGAGGAGGTTGTAGATGAGTAGATAAAAGGTTTAAGATGCAGGGGAGAAGAGGTGTAACACTACTGAAAGCAGGACTGTGTGATAGGGACAGTGAGGCGAGCAGATATAGGATGCAAAGGATGTACAAAATAGGGTAAGGGGGCTGAGAGGGACAGCTACCTTTGGGACCAGGGTGAGCCTTGGCTCTCTGACAAGGACAACAGAGCAGCTGAGGAGACTTTTGGGATGTAAGTACTATCACAAAACTATTCTAGAAAGTCTGGGAATGTGCTTTACTCTGGCATCTGGATGGGAAGGCTAGTAGGGACTCCAGCCCCACTCTCCAGAAACGATATCACCAGATGGTAGCTTGTCAGCTGATTTTTCGCTTTACAAAAAGAGCCCGTGAAGTGTGTTTAGAGTGATCTCTTAGCCGGGTGTAGTGGAACATGCTTGAACTCCCAGCACTTGGGAGGCAGAGGCAGGAGGATTATTACAAGTTTGAAGCGAGTCTGTTCAACTTTTTGAGTTTCAGGCTAGCCACAGCTATGTTAATGAATAAACCCAACTTTCAGTTCAAAGGGAATAAGTGATAGTTTTCTTTATAGTCAAATATGAGCAACTACAGCCTGGAATGTAGATTATGCTAGATACAGTGTTTCGAAGCAGTGCAATATCATGAGGTTTGTACAGTGAGAGACCAAAAGACAGTCATAAACGAAGGCATTTAAAATCATATTGGTGGGAACGTAAGGTAGGCAGGTTGTAGCAAATCGTGGAGAATCCGCTGTAGGCCTCAGATGCTATCTGATGACATTGTTAGCTTTGGGGACACTAGTTGTTGTTGGTATTTTCCAAAAAGTTTCTCCTAATAGTCACAGTTGCCAGGGCAGACATAGAGATGACAACTCCTCACAGCCACAGAAGTTCTGATTAGTCAGTCAGTTTCGTAGAATCTTAATCATAGGTTAGGCTTTCTTTCTTGTGATTTCCAAATTCATGGTTATCAAGACTCAAAAAGCAAAGCAAATTAAACAAAACAAAAAATTGTTTTGACCTCTGGCATCTATTCTAAAAAATGGTCTACATTTTTGTTGTTGTAGAGTTCTTACATGACAAACTAAAAGTGTGTGTCTATGAGGAATCGAGACTTCAAAGGGGAAGGGAATGACAAGTTAATGACCAAGCCTCGAATAGGACACCCCCTTCTAGTTTATGCCTCTGATTCCAGATCCTTTCTCCTCCTGAGCTTGAGAAAAGGCTGAGGCAGAGTAAGGAACAAGTTAGGATCTTTATTATATTCCTTTCCTTTCTTCTCTTTCTCTTCGCTCCATGTCTTTCTCTTCTTTTCTCTGTGTCTGCCTCTGTATATGTGTATGTGTGAGAGGGGGGGGGGGGGGGGGGGGGGGGGGGGGGGAGGGATGGAGGGAGAGAGAGAAAGAGAGAGAGAGAGGGAGGGATGAAGGAAGGGAGAGAGATAGAGGGAGGGATGAAGGAAGGGAGAGAGAGGCACACACACACACACACAGAGAGAGAGAGAGAGAGAGAGAGAGAGAGAGAGAGAGAGAAGAAAACTAACTGCTGGGTGTTCTTTCTTTCCTTCATGGGTTTTGAGGGTAGTTTCTTAGCCTCAGGTCAGTTTCTTAGCCTTAGTCACAAGTTTGTCAACTTCTGAACCAACTTTCGTTCATTCGTTTGTTCATTCGTTTCCTTTGTTCCTTCCTTCATTCCTTCCTTTGTTCCTTCCTTCCTCCAATGTCACAGTCTTTAATAACACAGAGGTGTGTAACCATTTCTTCTGGCTAAGGGGCCAAGTGAGGGTAGGGGAAAAGAAGATCTGCCACTGTCTAGGAAAAGCTGCCCTCGGTCTAGGGGCTGAGGTGTAAATCTTCTGCAGTACTTCCTTAGGCCTGCAGAGTGCAAATTGCTAGAAGGCGACTGCTGCTTCTCTGGGCTGTGTTTTGAGCATCTGGAGTCTTGTCCTAGAGGCATCTGCTTTCCATTTCAGTCCTCTGACATTCCCGGATGTGGCTGCCAGTCTCCAGGCTTGCAAATTTTAGTCCCCCCACCCTCCAGTTTAAGGGGACAAGCTTTGAGAAACCCCAGTAGTGTGTGTGGTTTAGGGCTCAATGGCTAGGATGATATATTGATCATGCCTGATGTGATACCTGATGTCCAGGAGCCAAGGATGTTGCGGGCTGGGAGATTATAGAGCTGACAACCTTGGCTTAGGGGATGCAAACCCTCTCATAAAGGAGGCACCTGATTCTTGTAGGGATTTAAGAATTTCTGATATTGTGCTGGGGATGCTGTGCTGAGAATCCTTGTCTGTGATGTGATTCCAAGCTCTATTTTTTGTAAATATATCTTCTGGCTGTAGTAGGTAGCTTGACTGCAGGGAGCATGGAAGAATGCCCTGAATTCTAGAAAAGAACATTTAGTTACTTCCTGTACTTTAAAGTGTTAAGAGCAGAGGGCCTCTGGAGCATGCTCTAATTTGTGTCTGTAGCCTGTAGATGTGTGCTGTGTGACCAGCCGCCTCCTGACCTTCTACAGAGACAGGGTGTTCAAGGACCATCAGGAGACAAGCCCAGAGGTCATGAGGCAAATCAGCAGCATTGCCAACTCCTTCCTCTACATGCAGAAAACTTTGGAGCAATGTGTGAGTCAGTGCATCTGAATTCCAAGCATCTGCGTCCATCTGCCCAAAATGAGGCCAGGACTTGTGCCATCAGGGCATTTCTTGTCCTGTCATTCACTTCTGTGTCTTTTGAGACTTTGCAATGGATTTGCCAGTCTCAGGGACCTGCTGACACCTCATCAGATAGGTCCCCTCATGGAGTAGCCAGCTGACGCCAGAGTGTCACCTGAGTGTACTGTATCCCATAAGAGGGATGCGCCAAGGGTTGCATTCTGGCCATAAGCACGCCTCTAGACTTTTTGTTTCTGACCCTTTGGAATTTCCACACTAAGACATGCCTGGGAAGTCATAGCAAGTTCTCTGTCACTGGTTGAAATCAAACAGAGACAAAAGTAAAAACCACCAACCAAAATGCAGGCTAAGAGAAGTCATAGGCTCCTGTTGATGAGTTGCTATGTGACATGGTTCCTCTGTGGCAGGTGATGGCTTCCTTCTTTGTCTCAGATTCAAAAAACTGTTAGAAAGGGTAATAGTTCCTGCCCTGCCTTAAAACCTACAATCGTGGAACGAAACGGATGTGTTTACTCAGTTAACCTTGTGGGGTGTTGCATTCAGCATTGTGACAAGGTAGACCTGGTGCTTGCTCTTCTGAAGCTAGCTATCTGTGTAGATGCAGAAGGAGCAGAAGCCAGGGTCAAATGCACACTTTCTCCACAGACAGACCCTATTGCCTCTCAGTTGTTGTAGCCTAAGCTTTTTCACCTGATCTATAAAGGAGGGGCATGGGGGGAGGAGGGGCATGGGGGGGAGGAGGTGGTGTAACAGTCCTCTAATGAGTTCTGTCCTCATTGTGTCCCAGCAGGTACATAATCAGTGTCACTGTAGTCAGGAAGCCACCAATGCGACCAGAACCATCCATGACAACTACGATCAGGTGGGTCTGGAGAGAGTATAGGGAAGACAGAAAATGAGATGGCTGAGAGAGTACCCTATTTCAGCCCTGTCTCCAGGCAAATCGTCTATTCTTTCCACCAGTCTTCATTGAGGGCCCAAACAAGTTGATGCCTGCAGAATGTTACAGGTCACTGAGCACTTCCCTGGTCCTCTTCTCCATCTTCCTTCCACTGTTTTCTTACACCCTCTCTCAGGCCAGGCCTACATACGCTGTGATCATACAGAAGGAGCAATGGTCCCCAGTGAGTTTGAAGCTGTTACTCACGAAACACAGCACATACAGTGTTCTTACAGTCAGGACCCGGCCCTTGGCATCCTGCCTGGTGCACTCAGTACTTCTCACATGGGTGTTGATGCAGGAACAGTTACCAGGGTGTGTCACCTGTGGATTTGATTGAAGTACAGTAGTTCCGTGGCGAGACCCAAGTTCCTCATTCTCAACACTCTCAAGTGATGCCAGTGCATTGAAGAGTGAAGAGGTTAGGACTGTTTTGCAGCTTGGCTTTTTTGGGGACAGGCTTTGAGTGATGCTGGAGGGATAGTGGAGATTCAAGTGGTTTGTTCTGTGAGTCAGATATTGTTCTAAGACCACATTGACTCTTCCCAGCAAGGCTCTGAGTATAAACTAAGTTTATACTGCAGCTACTTGGTAGAGCTAGGACATGGTCCCATGCTGAGTGGCTCCAAAGGATGTGCTTTTAGCTCCTACCATCTCCTTTTAGAATAGGAGGATGTGAACTAAGTCAGGGATTACTGGTTCTGTTACTGGCTGTGTGATGTTTGGGTACACACTCTTTGAGGGGCTCAGTGCTTTGATGCTAGTAGGGACCACAAGTTCTTGTTCACCGGAGAGCACTGAAGAGAATAAGGCTTCTCATGAAACAAGAACATTAAGAAGACCTGGCTGGCAAGGCTAGTACTTTCTGTGAAAAGAAGGAGAAACGGGGGAAAGGAATGAGGGATTTTAAATCCCTCATTTAAAGGATCTGAAATGATTGTGTGTATACGCAGGAGGGGTTCTAAGCTATGAGGGAATAAGTTTTGATTCTGCATGCTATGCAAAGGTCTAATAAATAAAAAGAGAAACTGCATAGGGCTCAGACTATGGGGACTCTACTATACAGGCTTCAGTGCAGTCAGATAGGGCTACATGATGTGTTTTCAAATTTTATTTATTTATTTATTTTGTCTATTTGTTTTAGCTGGAGGCCTCATCAGCTGCCCTTAAATCTCTAGGAGAGCTAGACATCTTTTTAGCCTGGATTGACGAGAATCATCAAGAGACTTCTACAGCTTGACACTAAGTGCCTTGTCTGATTATCTAGGGATACATAACCCACTGTGAGCTCTCTCCCTCCTACCCCCCACCCCTGTGCTCAACACCTAACTTTGAAGAGGAGAGATATGTGGAAAGCCCCATCATTATCTGCAGTGAGGGGGTCTTTTCTTGGAAATTGCTGATGTGGAAGGAACCTTCTCTTCTGGGCTGGGGCCTCGCTGGAAAAATCAGGGTTTGAATAGATCTCAGCTGCTGGCTGAGGTCTCAGCTCTCTGATCGCACCTGAAAATAGCCGAGTTGGCAGCTATGGTATTTATAGCAACATGTGGCTGTTGAGACATCCCGGATGCTGTCACCGGACAGCTCCTCTAATTTATTGTGAAGTGGCTCTCCCAGGCCTATGCTGTGTACCACATGGTGTGCTGTAGTGCATATTGTACTGACTGACATTTATGAATAAACTGTGCTTTACCAGTGAGAATGGATTGTCTTCTGATTCATCAAAGACTCATCTATGGGAATAAAACAGGCCTCAAGAATGGGGAACACATGGGGAAGCTTAATCCTAGATGGGGATAAAATGTATGTGGGTTTCAAAAGAAGTTAGAGGAGAACAGGGTTCTAGATGGGTATGTGAATACATTTTCCATTGCTGTAACACAATATCTAGACTGGGTAACTTTGCAATAAAAACAAGTTTATTGCTCATAATCCTAGAGGTTCTAGGGCATGGGTTTCACTGTCTGGGCCCTGGTAAGAACTACACAGCAGGTGTTGTCACAACTGAGTGAGCATGATAGAAGAAGACAGCACATTCAGACAGAAGTATGCTATTATTTATTTTTTTTTTGAGAATTTTATACCTACGCATGTGCCAGGGTCTCTGCAACCACCATGGCCTCCAGAGTAATGATCCATGGCAGGCAAGAAGGTAGTCTGGTTCAACATGATTCAGTTGGTTCAAACTTTGCGAGTCTGGTGCTGGGCAGTTTATTTTAGGCATATTTGAGCACAGCACAGTTTGGTGAGAATTTTCCTGGTGATTAAACAATTCAATTGAGTGTGTACAACAAAACCTAAGGCACGACTACATTGAAACTCTTTGTAAAGTACATGTGATATCTTCCATAAAGATGGGTTCTATAGACTGACTGAGAAAAACAAGTTCATGATAAGAGTCTTGGGGAAGATCCTGTGTGGTCTCAGCCACACAGATAGTGCAAAGGACACCAGGCTATTAACCACATCCACTTCCGGCCTTCTGGGTGGAAAACAGGTTATACATCTCCCTGTGAAGAGACAACATCGTGTGTTTAACATTCCTGGTTCCCTGAGTGCTTATCTGTAAGCACAAGTAACCCTGTGCCTCCTATACAAGTGTACAATGTGTTTCAATCAAATTCACCTCCAGTTCCTCCTCTCCTATTATCTAACTCCCAGTGCCACTGAGTCCAGTTAGTTTTGCCTGTATGTTCAAGGGCAACTTACCTAGGGCCACCTTGCTGAAGAAATCTGATGCTTACTCTCTCAGCAGCAGTAGTTTGAATGAATAAGCTCATAGGGGGTGGCACTGTTAGGAAGTATGGCCTTGTTGGAAGTGGGAATGGTCTTGCAGGAGGAAGTGTGTCAATAGGCATGCACTTTGAGGTTTCAGAAGCTCAAGACAGGCCCTGCTGCCTGTGGACCGGGATGCAGAACTCTCAGCTCCTTCTCCAGCACCATGTCTGCCTGCGTGACACCAGGCTTCCCATTATGACACTAGTGGACTAAACCTCGGAACTTGTAAGCTACCCCCAATTAGATGTTTTCCTTTATAAGAGTTGGCTGTGGCTATGGTGTCTCACACAGCAATAGAACTCCTAACTAAGATAGGCTTCATGAGCCTCTCCCCATCCATCCTGGAATTTTGACTGGCTTGGCCTCAGGAAAGTCTTATGCATATAGTCATAGCCATTGTGAGTTTGTATGTGCAGTAGCCCTGTCATATTTCAAAAACATCACTCTTTTGTAGCAGTTCTCTACAACCTCTGCCTCTTACAACCTTTCTGCCCCCGCTTTTGAGATGAACTCTATGTCTTGGGATGGAGGGAGTATAATATAGAGGTCTCACTTGCAGATTACCATAGACATGTATTCTCTGCACTTTGACCAGTTGTAAAATTATGGGTTCACTACTGTCCACTGCACAGAGAAACTTCTCTGATGAGGACGGAGAATGGCACTAAGCTATGGTATAAGCTGAAACTACGTTGAGAGTCCACTTTGAGGGAATTGGAGTCATAGCCTTTCACTTAAACTTTTAAGATGGCTGACTCCCCTCCCCTGACCAAGACTCCACTTTCCACCCTGCCCAAGGGTACTGTTCAGTAGGATTTTCAGATCTCCTGCTGGAGTGAGTCTGGGAACCAACCATCTTCCCTGTCTTTGTTCTGGATTATCCAATCCCCTGAAAGAGTCCAAAAAAGCCAATGCCAAGGAAGAAAGAGAGCTCATCCCATTCCAAAATATAAAAACCGAACAAACAAAAACAAGCAAAACCAAAATAACCACCATTTCTGAGCAGACTCCACTCTGTATCTGAATCTTCCTTCCTTCCCCCTCCCTCTGTGTGCATATTATTTGTTTTCAATAAAATCTGGCTGAGTGCTGAAACTTTGCTTTTCTTGCCTTTTTATTCTTTAATTTGGTAGAGAAAGGAATTTATTCCTGTAACCCTAGACAACATATCATATTACCTCAGACAAAATGGCTATCATCAAGAAATCTGACAGCAAATGCTTTCAAAGACACAGGAGAAAGAATAATCCTTATTCACTGCTGGTAGAAGTGCAAACTAGTATAACCATTATGGAAATTGTATAGAGACTTCTCAAAAATTAGAAATAGAACTGCCATATATAGAACTCCCAGCTGTAACTAACACTTAGGACATATACACAGGGGATTCTATACCCTACCACAGAGACACTTGTACATTTGTGTTTATAGATGCTCTATTTATGATATCAAGAAAACATAGCCAGCCTAGACGTCCATCAGTATATGAATGGGTAATGAGAGCATGACACATATGCTTTGGAATTTTATTCAACTGTAAAAAAACAAAAAAACAAAAAAATTAAATTTGCTTGAAAACAAATGTACCTGGGGAGATATGTCACAAAATACACCTTGGGATCTAAGACTCTACTATTAAACAAGGGTTCTTAACTTTGTGTGTCACAAAGTTTCTGCCATATTAGCGACATGTATTCTACTCAGAATAATGTTTCTAAATATACACAAGAGATAAGAAACTCATAACGTTAAAATGCAGCTGTGGGAATATAAAATAAGGTTCCTTCTTTGTTCATACATGAACACAACTTAGCAGCACTGGGAAACATTGGTTATTATAAATGCTCTTTTGAGATATCTGCAAGCATTTTCATGAGATCTATCAGGGACAAAGTTATCTGTTCTGCCAATGCTGTGGTGACTGGTGGTCATGTTTATTGAAGGTTGATGCAGAGATGTCGTTTCTGCCCATCCACCTTCTCCCAGGTTAAGAACTCAGTGCTAGGTAAGCTCCCCAAACCCCTTTCTTGCCCACTTAGGTATCATTTAACGTGATCTAGCCTCAGTGATTGCACGTGGGAGATTTTCACTGCTTGTTTATGAAATTAAAAGGAAAGTAATTGTGTAAATCCTGAGTCTTCTAGGTGAGGAAATCTAATTCAAATTTCCACTGATTTTTGTACTCAACTCCAGCCTAAGGGAGGACCTTCTGAAAGACTCCACAGCCTGAAGGTAGAGTTGTGTGAGGGCTTAGCCAACTCTGGGGACTTAGTGATGTCAAAAGGAAGCTTTGTGCACGTAGAAAGGGAGGTATCGAAGTGAACTGGTGGAATGCGGAATGATATAAAGATGCAGGAAGGGGAAATGACATCATTCGTGTTGGCAGTGGGAGGACAGGGAAGTGAAAGTGTACTTCTGACAGTTAGCTGCTTTATTCATCCCCACCCTGCCTATCTCCTGGAGAGTCTGCAGCAAAATTCCCAGCACGTAGGCAAGGGAGTGGCAGAGGTTTCTACCTGCCTGGGCACCCTGTGAGCTAGGATGCTTCCTCCAGATCCCGAGACACGTGTTTCCCTGAAAAATGATGCAACTGGGCAGGAAGCCCAGATGTCAGCAGTTGTGACATTATGGACCAGGAAAACCCTGATTAGGGAACTCAGGACCCAGTGTGGGAGAAGGAATCTCTAGGTTTCCTTCTCGTGGCTTACTTCAGAACCCAGGTTTGTTTCATAAAAGGGGATTCTCCCCTTGTTATTCTCTGACTAGATGCTCACAGCTGCTTTTAAAACCCGATTTTCCCAAGTTGGCTTGATGCACACATGGAATGTGAGTTAGGATAGAAAGACAAGGAAAATTATGGATATGAAAAGAAAAAGGAGGCCCTCAGCCTGGGGACTGGCTGAAGTCTCTCCCAATTGTGAATTAAGGATTCTAGCACAATTAGCAGCATTTGCTTAAGGCCTTTTTCCTTTCCTGATATAATCCTACAATTTTCTAGGAATTAGAAACCCCGTTTATAATAAAAGATATGTCCTAAACTCTCTTGGCAATCCTAGTGACTCCTGTTTTCCCTTATCAAATCCCAAATCTATGCAAGTCACCTCTGGAGCTACGCTGTAGTGTCAATTACCAGAAAGAGAGAGAAGGGGAGACTGAGTTTAGGGGAGAGGGTGGAGGTACTCCAGAAAATTCCATTCTGGTTCAGTATTCTGCTCTCTGTGCAACTACCTTTGCTCAGAGGGAACACCCAACCAGAGGGAGTAATTTCCCATATTCATAGCTACAACCAGTCATCCCCTCAGGCAGGGCTTGTTGAGGAAGGTGTTGTCCCAAGCCAGGGTGCAGCGCCTTGGGTCTTGAGGAAATGGGGTGCCACTAGACAAGTCCCAAGCAAGGGTTTTCCAACCCTCACCTCCACCAGCTCATTTCCTTCATGTGGCATACATAAAAGTTACTGGGAGCACCTCAGCCTGAGACAGACTCCTAGGAGACAAGAAGTAGCAGCCTTTCTACTCAGGTAAGAGACTTTCTCAAATGACTCTGAGCATGTGCCTGGTCCACCCCTTCATTGATCCAGGTATATTGAGTGTCATGCCCAAAGGAACACTTTCTAGGAAGATGAAGTCGATCAGGGGACCAGGAAGTTTTGCTGCTACCTTTGTATCCAAAGCTGGTCTGATGAATTTACTATCGAGTTGATGCAAATAAGATCACAGTTCTCATCTTACGTGGAATAAGAGAGAGTCTTTATTCTGGAGCCATTTTAATTAGTCTTGGTAACCTAAATTCCATGTTCATGAAGTTTTATATTTCCACAGAACAAAGAAAGTAGGTTTTAAAAGTGACAATTAAAAAATATCTAAGGTTTTCTCTTACATAGTCTTGGCTAAAATAAGGATCATGAAAAACCTGTTTGTTCATTTG